CAAATTTTATTTCGAAACGAGTAGCAAATTGTTTTGGAATGCGAAAATAAAATATAACAGAGAAATATAATAAAACGTATTAAAAAATAAATAAATAAAAATTACGAATTCGAAATCACAGAGAAATAAATAATTAACAACTTAATGATGGTTTTAAGTTTAATCTATTACATATTTTTGATATTGGCCATTTCGATGCTGCTGAGGGTAAAGTTATCAATGTGTGTGTATTCAGTTTGGTCAGTTTGTTAAAAATTGTTTTTGTTTATTTTTGGCAGATATTTATTCGCATCTTATGCTTGGCTCCAGCCCTTAATGCTGAAGCTCAACGTGAGGCAGGTGATGGTAAGTTAAACAATTTCAAAATTGGGTGTGCGTTCGGCACTTGAAACGCAGAAGCTACTGTATGCTACTGCATATATATTTTTCATGGCTTGGTAATTTATTTTTGTGCCCAATATCGGTCGATAACAGTCGATTTAGAGCAGGGCAATAACTGTGGTTAATTGTTTGTTTGTTATTATTGTATGACGTATGAATACAAGGTTTAAATCGAAACAAATATGACAGGGTTCGGAATTAAAAAAAAACTACAATCGCGGAATTAAAAAAAATATAATCGCGGGATTAAAGAAAATATTTTTTAAGGTTCATTCATAGGTGTGGATTTTTTAAAGAATATTTTTCAAGGTCCATTCATAGCCGTGGATTTTTATACCCTTCACCATACTGTAGTACAGAGTTATGTCTTTGTGCATATGTTTGTAACAGGCAAAAGGAAACGAGATCTATACATGGTTCCTTTTGAGAATATGCATAGAATCACTTTCTGTGTCGATTTATGCATGTTCGTCCGTCTGTCTGTCCATGTTAATTTGTAATCAAAGTACAGGTCCCATTTATGATCCGAATTGGTTGAAACTTGGCATAGGTCACTTATTTTGCCCAAGAACGAACCCTATTGAAATTGGGAAAAATCGGTTCAGATTTAGATATAGCTCCCATATATATTTTCGCCCGATTTAATGTAAACGGTGTACCAAAGTTCCTATATATCTTTCGATTTGCACGAAATTTGGCACAGCGTACTGAATTATGTCTTGAATGATGTACGTCAAGTTTCCTGAAAATCGGGCCAGTATTATGCCATGTACAGACGAGCGTTGTTCGCTCTCTCATTCGTTGTTCGACCCTTAATTATGAAGGAATTACTTAGTTCCCCATACAAAATTGTCTGAGCGAACACCGACTTTTGTACGTTGTTCAATTCGAATCACTCTCTGAATAACCAATAAATTTGTCCCATCCCTAACAATTGAGAGTGTTTATCGAAAATAAATTAATTTTGACAGTTTGAAAATATTTATGAAATTTTCAAACTTTTTCAGTAAAATTGAAAATCATGAATGAAAAGTAAAAAATTGTATAGTTTTTATATATGCAGCAGGATGTAAATTTTATTTTCTACATAATGCAATATGCATTTCTTTTCCCTTGGTTCTAATTAGCGTACAAAACAAGAAACAAATGTGGGGCAACTCAAACAAAAAATTCTCCAAATTTTTATTTGTGACATTTGAATTGAGAAAATATAAAAATGTATTAAAAACAACAACATTTTCAGAAAAAATGGAAAACATGAATGAAAAGTAAATAGATATGGGTTCATACTATAGTCAGGAGAAAGAGAATTATTTTTTCTATTTAAATCCCTATGTAATTCACTAAAATATGTTACATTTTTGGTGTAAAACAAGAAACAAAAAGTTTGAAATAAAAAACTCTGATGATATGAATTATGAATAGTGTTGTATGAACGGGTTAATTCATGTACGTAATTCTGAGAGCGAACTACGTTGTTCGGATGCCCGTCAGAACATGGCATTAGATATAGCCCCCATATATATTCGTCCGATTTAATGTAAGTGGTGCACCAAAGCCCCTATATATCTTTCGATTTGCACAAAATTTTGTATAGCGTACGATGAACGATGTGTGTTAAATTTCGTGAAAATCGGTTCAGATTTAGATATAGCTCCCATATATATTTTCGTCCGATTTAATGTAAATGGGGCACCAAAGTCCCTATATATCTTTCGATTTGCACAAAATTTGGCATAGCGTACTAAATTAAGTCTAGAGTGATGTGTGTTAAATTTCGTCAAAATCGGTTCAGATTGAGATATAGCTCCCATATATATTTTCGTCCGATTTTAGGTAAATAGAGCACCAAAGTCCCTTTATATCCTTCAATTTGCACGAAATTTGCATAGCGTATAGAATAAAGTTTAGAGTGATGTGTGTTATGTTTCGTGAAAATCGGTTCAAATTTCGACCCATATATATTTTCGACCGTTTTTATGTAAATGGTGCACCAAAGTCCCTATATTTCCTTCGATTTGCACGAAAATTGGCATAGGGCACTGAATTGGGTCTAGAATGATGTGTGGTAAGTTTCATGAAAATCGTTTCAGATTTAGATATAGCTCCCATATATATATTTTCGTCCGATTTAAAGTAAATGGTGCACAAAGCCCCTAAATATCTTTCGATTTGCACGAAATTTGGCATAACGTACTGAATTAAGTCTAGAACGATGTGTGTTAAATTTCATGAAAACCGGTTCAGATTTAGATATAGCTCCCATATATATTTTCGTTTGATTTAAGGTAAATGATGCACCAAAGTACTTATATATCTTTCGATTTGCACGAAAATTGGCATAGCGTACAGAATGAAGTTTAGAATGATGTTTGTTAAGTTTCGTGAAAATCGGTTCAGATTTAGGTATAGCTCCCATATATATTTTCGTCCGATTTTATGTAAATGGTGCACCAAAGTTCAAATCGAAGGATATATAGAGTATCCTTCGATTTGAACGATATTTGGCATAGCGTACTGAATTGAATCTGGAATGATGTGTGGTAAGTTACGGAAAAATCGGTTCAGCCATAGCTTCAATATGTATTTCGAACGCGTGTCTAATTGAAATAAAATGTTAAACAGTGCGGCGTACCGAATAGCGTGTATCAAATTTGCTATAAATCGTTTTCCCTATATTTGTCCCATGGTACACAGACGACTCTAAATCTGCCTGAATGAAATTAAATTTATCTTAGCTTGCAGAAAGACATGAGTATGTTCCTTCGAGGGAACATTGACATGCTATTGTAAGGATACATATATGTACAATATAACCAAAGTGGTGAAGGGTATCATATAGTCGGCCCAGTCCGACTTTACTATTTAGGATATTATAGCTTTATCCAGCCCCAAGAATTTGTAACGCAGCGAAATATTGGTCCTAGACCCACCTTTAAGTATACCGATCGTCATATCTCGACTAGCTGAGTCGATCTAGTCATGTATGTCCGTCCGTCCATCTGTCCATTATAATTTGTAAAAACCATACAGGCCAGAGTTATGGACCAATCTTCACGAAATTCTGCATGTAGGATGGGTTCGGCCCAATGAATACCCCTATTGTTTTTGGTATTGATCGGTTAATATTTAGGGGATTAAATGGACCAAATTCTTAATTTTTGTCGGTTTTTCTGATCGCTCCAGAGGCCGCAATTATGGCCCAAACATCGCGATTTTTTACATGGAGAAGGGGATTGGTAAAGATCTTTCAATATTTAGCGGGTCAATTTGACCCAGACTTTTGTGTGAAAATGACAAAATTTGTATTCTGTAGCGTATATATTTACCCCTGAAGGACATAGATCCCAGAAGTTGGTAATATATCCAAGAGGAGTGATTGACCTTTAAATTGGTACCAATCATATTGTTGTATGTATTCGGATGTGGAAGTTACACATAAATATTTGCAAGTGCTTACGTATTCAAATATTATTTAGTAAGCCATTACCATACTAGAGGGCGGAAATATAGCACTGATAGCTTTAAAATATTTTGTGAGGTTCCAGTTATGGTCAAGTAAACGCCTATAAAATAATCGATCAGATAATAATATTGGGATGAAGTGGACTGAAAACTTTTTTTTTTTTTTGTTTTTGAGTCGATCTATACGACACAATTGAAAACCGAACTTCACAACCTACGTTGAAGGGAATCTGGACAAGTAATATGAAGCGCTGTACTGAATATTAGTAATATTTGTTGGCCTCTAGTCGGTCAAGAGGGTGCTAATATTGTGAAATATATCCCAAGCTCAGATCATAGAACCACAGAAAGTAAGATTTTCGTGGAAGTTGTGTAGGGTATCATATGGTCGACCCCGTCCGACTATACTGCTCCGCTTACTGATTTTTTTAATATTTTCCGAGATCTGTTACAAAAAACTTCATATGTAGACGTGTATTTAAAAAAGAGCTTCATATATAGCAGGTTTTTTAATCAAAAATATATATATTAACAAAAAATCATAAGAATTCAAAAATCTATATTTAAAGTTTGAAAAATTATTTTGTAAAAATGCTTGTCTATATAGAAATTTGAGAAAAATATTTCTTTAATTAGCACATCTATATACATGTTCTTACATAAAACCATACCATTTAGTACCCTATTTGAATTTCCCATCACTGTTCTTTGTAACATTTGTGCCATCTCCAACAGTTAACATTTAGCACTGCTGCTGTTAACATATTTTTGTTCTGCAATCGAAGCAGAGACAGCGAGAACTAAATCGTATTTCTCCAAGTTGCAAAACTTTTGATAAGATAACATCCGCACACCACCACGACCCTATTATCAAGAATTCAATTTAAGATATATGTACATACATGTATATATTACACACATACACAAGCACATATCTATGTAAACAGATAACAAAGTCATTTTGTGTGTTTTTTTGTTGCTATCTCATGGAGAAATATCTTCTTGGTTCATCTTAATAATATCAAGCATTTTTATCTGACTGGTGATTAATTAAAGAACACTAAGTGGAAATCTCTGCAAAGCATCTCAGAATTGTTTTGGCTAAGAAGAAAAGCATTTGGGAAAATAACCGTTAAAGTTTCTAAAAAATAATAATGTCAACAGAAATGTTTATAAGTGACATAATCTATTTGACCTTTCTAATGGTGCTGTTGTTTATTGTAAGTAGCCATGTGATGAATAATTATTGTGGGTAAAATTTTTGTTTTAATTTTTAAATGTTCCCCCATAGATCATCTATAAGGGCTTTACATTTGGTGGCCGCATAAATCTACCCGAGGATCAACAATTCAATATTACCCGGGATACGTTGTATTTTAATCGTCACTGTTTCACCCGTGCAGGTTTGTTATGATCCCATCCCAACCACTTTATTTATGGTTTTGTTTTCTTGATAAAGGAAGGAAGTTTTATATTATTATTTATTTGTGAATTAGAAGAAAAAACTAGATGTTTCTAGTTCTGTATATGCCCCAAAAAAATGTTGACGTCTAACGTAACCACCCAAAAATTCCTTCATTCATATTATATTACAACACCAAAAAAAATGATAAGCTAAATATCTAATTTTTAAGATTTATACGAATACACATGACGGAGGGTTTTTCTCTAGGTTAATCAGATTATCGCAAATGTGAGCTGTAATATATGGCCCTAACATAGTTTGTAGGGGGTAAATGATATTTTTTATAATTATATGTGAAAAAATCACGTATTCCATAGGTCAGATACACACCTGCTCATTTAAATAAGTCGAAATTTAAAAATGTATAAAAGAAGCTAGAAAAAAATATTTTTAAAAATCCAAGGCTATATAAGAGGCCATACTTTTAAAAATCTACGCCTATATAAGAAACCAGCAAAAATATTTTTAAAAATCCACGCCTATATAAGAAGCTAAAAATTATTTTAAACCAATAAGGAATGTAGTAAAGTCGGACAGGGCCGACTACATGATACCCTTCACCACTTTGGGTATATTGTACACATGTATCATTACAATTTCATGTCAATGTTCCCTCGAAGGAAAATACTCCTGTATTTCTGCAACCTATACTAAATTTAATTTCATTCGGGTAGATTTAGAGTGGTCTGCGTGCCATGGGACAAATTTATGGAAAACAACTTAAAGCAAAATTAATAAACGCTATTTGGACTGTTAAAAACATAATCTCAATCAGACCCCCGCTACGTCGTTGGGAGCTATATGTAAATCTGAACCGATTTTCACGAATCTTAACACTGATCGTTCTTGACTTAATTCAGTACGTTATGCCAAATTTCGTGCAAATCGAAGGATAAATAGGGACTATGATGCACTATTTACATAAAATCGGACGAAAATATATATGGGAGCTATTCGAAATCTAAACCGATTTCCACGAATCTTACCACTGATCGTTCTAGACTTAATTCAGTACGCTATACCAATATTCGTGCAAATCGAAAGTTATATAGGATCTTTGGTGCATCATTTACATAAAATCGGACAAATATATATATATATATATATATATATAGAAGCTACATCTAAATCTGAAACGATTTTCCCGAAACTTACTACACATCATTCTTGACTCAGTTCAGTATGCTGTGCCTAATTTCGTGCAAATCGAAGGATATATAGGGTCTTAGGTGCACTATCTACCTAAAATCTGACGAAAATATATATGAGAGCTATATCTTAATCTGAACCGATTTTCCCGAAACTCACCACTCATCATTCTATACTCAATTCAGTACGCTATGCCAAATTTCATGAAAATCCAAGGATATATAGGAACTTTGGTGCACCATTTACCTTCAATCGGACGAAAATGTATGTGGGAGCTATATCTAAATCTGAACCGATTTTCCCCAAACTTACTACACATCATTCTATACTCAATTCAGTACGCTATGCCAAATTTCGTGCAAATCGAGAGATATATAGGGACTTTGGTGCACCATTTACGTAAAATCGGACGAAAATACATATGAGAGCTATTCGAAATCTGAACCGATTTTCCCGAAACTCACCACTCATCATTCTATACTCAATTCAGTACGCTATGCCAAATTTCATGAAAATCCAAGGATATATAGGAACTTTGGTGCACCATTTACCTTCAATCGGACGAAAATGTATGTGGGAGCTATATCTAAATCTGAACCGATTTTCACGTAACTAAACAAACATCACTGTAGACTTAATTCAGTACGCTAATCCAAATTTCGTGCAAATCGAAAGATATATAGGGACTTTGGTGCACCATTTACCTTAAATCGGACGAAAACATATATTGAAGCTATATCTAAATCTGAACCGATTTTCCCGAAACTCACCACTTATCATTCTATATTCAATTCAGTACGCTATGCCAAATTTCGTGCAATCGAAGGATATATAGGGGCGTTGGTGCACTATCTACCTAAAATTGGACGAAAATATATTTGGGAGCTATATCTAAATCTGAACCGATTTTTCCCAATTTCAATAGGGTTCGTCCTTGGGCCGAATAAAGGAACTGTGCCAAATTTCATCCAATTCGAATCAAAACCAGTGAGCGGAGCAGTATAGTCGGACGGGGCCGACCATACGATACCCTACGCAACTACCACGGAACTCAAATTTTTTGCGAATGTTTATTCCGAGCCTGGGCAATATTTCGTGATATTTGCACCCTCTTGCTCGATTAGAGGTAAACAGCGCCTCTTCCTAACACTGACATATTTTCGGAATATTACGAGTATTCAGTGCACAGCTATTGTCCAGATTTCCTTCACCGTGGGTTGTGTTGTGATGTTCGGCTTTCATTTGTGGTCTATAGATCGACTCGAAAATAACACAAAAAATTAAGTTTTCCGTCCACTTCATTCCAAAATTATTATCTGATCATCAGCGAAAATTATAGGCGTTGTCCTTGACCATAACTGGAACCTCATGGGACATAACAAAGCGATCAGCGCTATAGTTCCGCTCTCTAGAATGATAATGGGTTACTAAATAATATACGAATACGGAGATACCTGTAAATATTTAAGTGTATCTGCCACATCCGAGTACATACGACAATATAATTGGTATTAATTTAAAGGTCAACCACTCCTCTTGGATATAATATCAACTTCTCGGGTCTATGTCCTTCAGGGGTAAATGTATACGCTATAGAATACAAATTTTGTAATTTTTCACAAAAAAGTCTGGGTCCATTTGACCCGCTAAATATTGACCGATCTCTATCAAAACAGGCATGCTTATTCTTTGGCCCAATCCCCTTCACCATGCAAAATTTCACGATGTTCGGACTGTTATTGCGGCCTCTGGAGCGACCAGAAAAAACGGAAAAAAATGAAGTATTTGGTCCATTTCATCCCCTAAATATTAACCGATCTTTCCCAAAAATATTGGCCAGAACCCATCCTACATGCAAAATTTCGTGAATATTGGTCCATAACTGTGGCCTGTATCGTGTTTACAAATTATAATGGACAGACAGACGGACGGACGGACACACATGTCGAGATCGACTCAGCTAGTCGAGAAATGACGATCGGTATATTTAAAGGTGGGTCTAGGACCAATATTTCGCGGAGTTACAAACTTTTGCGGCTGCACAAAGCTATAATACCCTGACAATATAGTTGTGTAGGGTATAAATACGACCTGTACTTTGTTTACAATTTAACATGGACAGACGGACGGACATGCATAAATCAAATTAAAACGTGATTCTATGCATATTCTCAAAAGGAACCATGGGTGTATATCGTTTCCTTTTGCCTGTTACAAAGACATAATACCCTGTGTTTAAAAATCCCTGCCCAAAAAAGAAGTGCGAAAAAATATTTTTTATTAAATCCACTCATATAGAAAAAAACCACAAAAAACATTGTTTTTAAATCCACATCTATTTATAATATGCTCTTGGTCATTCACATCTGAACTCTAACCTTCACCACACTGTGGTACAGGGTATTATGTCTTTGTGCATATGTTTGTAAGGGGAAAAAATAATCGAGATAGATCCATGGTTCCTTTTGAGAATATGCATAGAATCACTTTCTAAGTCGATGTATGCATGTCCGTCCGTCCGTCTGACTGTCTATGTTAAATTGTAAACAAAGTACAGGTCGCATTTATGATCCGAATTGGATGAAATTTTACACAGCTCATTTGTTTGGCCCAAGGACCAAGGACCCTATTGAAATTGGGAAAAATCAGTTCAGATTTAAATATAGATCCCATATATATTTTCGTCCGATTTAAGGTAAATGGTGCACCAAAGTCCCTATATACCTTTCGATGTGGACGAAATTTGACAAAGCGTAATAAATAAGGTCACGAATGATCTGTGCGAAGTTTCGCGAAAATCGTTTCAGATTTAGATATAGCTCCCATATATATCTTCATCCGATTTAAGGTTAATTGTGTATCAAAGTCCCTATATATCTTTCGATTTGCACGAAATTTGGCACAGCATAATAAATAAGGCCACGAATGATGTTTGCGAAGTTTCGTGAAAATCGGTTCAGATTTAGATATAGCTCACATATATAGCTTCGGCCGATTTTAGGTAAATAGTCAACTAAAGTCCCTGGAAATCTTTTGATGTGCACGAAATTTGGCACAGCGTACTAAATTAAGTATAGAATGATGTGTGCAACGTTTCGTGAAAAATCGGTTCAGATTTAGATATAGCTCCCATATATAGCTTCGCCCGATTTTAGGTAAATAGTCAACTAAAGTCCCTGGAAATCTTTTGATTTGCACGAAATTTGGCACAGAATTATGAATAAGATCGAGAATGATGTCTGCCAAGTTTCTCATATGTATTTTCATCCGATTTAAGCTAATTAGTGCACCAAAGACCCTATATGTCTTTCGATTTGCATGATTTTTGGTATGGGGTACTAAATTAAGTCTAAAATGTTGATGCTAAGATTCGTGAAAAGATCCATATCTAGGCCGATTGACACAACGTACTGATGTAATATTAATTAGTATCTGGCAAGTTTCCCCGAAATCGGTTCAGATATAGATATATAACAAAAAACGCGTTGTCTGTTAGGATACATATGTAGAATATACCCAAAGTGGTGAAGGGTATCATATAGTCGGCCCAGCCGGACTTTACTACTTTTCTTACTGGTTCGAATTAATTTCTCTCTGTGTACATAATTTCATTATTTGACATATTCATAATTATCGATTTTATTGAAATCGTTGTCCTCTTCTATAATGTCAATACATTTTTTGGTTTAGTTTTTCAAAATTAATTTCGAAATGGAATCCTTTTATATCTATTGTTTTGATTTGTTTCTCTTCATTGCCTTTGTATTTCTCATCAAAGTAAGTCGAGAT